ATCAGTAGCTACTCAGCTCGCAGTTTGCCGATCGGTCTACTTAGTAGCAATACTCGGTATGTAATTTGGAGAAATCTCTTGGCTGTCAAACGTCGAGTGTAGCTGTAAGATTGTTATGCTTGGCATATTTTGATAAGAGGATGATGACTACAGAAGGTATATCGTATAAGGAATGATAGGAGGGAAACGAGAAAGATTTAAACAATAATAATCACTTATTTTGACAACATTTTAACATCTAGCAGTGGACAGGAATTTGCTTTGAAAAAGTAAGAACTGACGAGTGAAGATCACGTAGGTGGTGGTTATTTTACCTGACTACTAAGAAAGCATAAATGCTTGATAGTAAGTAACCAGACGGCCGACGGCTTTAGGTCCTCTCCTAGAGACCTGGTAATGAGGATTAATGCCTCGGAAAGACACCTGATGACTTACAGCCTTATTCGTATTTCCCCTATATGGCGAAAAGCTATCAATATCATATTTGGAAGACTTGCACTGACTTCTCGATTGGAACGATATGTTTTTTAATTACCTGACTGGTATTTACCTCTTCCGATCCGGTAAGTCTTTAATGCAGCTTTACAAACCATAGTAACTCCAGACTCGGACTCTCACATGCTTTTTCATCTTGGATGGCTTTAAGTCCTGTTGGAAACTCATTATCTACCAAAATGGAGACCACTTCTGATCTGTTTACATCAACTACAACTTCACCAACAACACTGACTTCAGTCGCGGTCATACATGCTTTTTCATCATGGACAGACTTCTTGATAGCCGCCATCGGCGTCGTCGTCATTACCGTTACGGTGGCGGGAAACTCCTTAGTGATCGTTTCCTACCTACAAGATAACCATATCCGAAGGGTTGCAGGTAATCAGTTCATCCTTAATCTATCTATTGCAGACTTGTTGGTCGGCTTGGTATCATTACCCTGTACCTGCAGAATCTTCTTCTGAAGCGGTGGGTCCTAGGAGACATCTTCTGTAAACTCTACACCACTTTTGATTACTGTGTCGTCAGCGTCAGTGTGCTGACTGTGATTTACATCAGTCTCGATCGCTACTGGATCGTGATGAAGAAATTGGAATACAAGTCTTTCCTCACAAAAAGGAGATCGCAGATTATGATCGTCGCAGCCTGGCTTGTGGTCGTGCCTGTCATATCAACGCTCATGCTATCATGGTCGTCGATACACGGAGAGTCAGAACTGTACGTACTTGGAACCTGTACCGCCCAGATAATACATAGTCTCCTCGGTTCTCTGATCATTCTTGTTCTACTTATCGTAACCCCTTCAGCGGTTATTCTGTTTCTGAATACCTCTGTTTTCATACGCATCTGCATACAAGATAGGCGTTTTGGAAGGAACAATAAAAACAAATATATGAGCAAGAAACAGGCTTCTCGTTTACAGGGCGCCTTTGACGATGGTATAAAAGATGGAGACATTGTAAATCGAGGTGGAGCACCTTTGTCCATTGATGGCTTGGGGATTCGCAGATCTACGAGTTATAAAATTAGCCATGAAAATAACCTTGTGCAAAGTAAAGGACATACGTCTTACTTTGATAGAGACAACGCAAATGGTCAAACTGGAATGGTTGTAAATGCCACCAACAAGCGGGCGTTCGCAGAATCTGAATTGGTAGCCGATGAAATTGGAAGAAGCAGTCAGCTTCGTAGTGACATCTCTGCTGCACATTCTGCTGTTGAACAAGAGGACAGTAATATATTAGCAAAACCTGTTCGATGCCATTCTAGCGATGTTAGTAAAACTGTACAAAGTGTGAATGGAGTGTGCTACAGTAAATCTTTCTCTGGACTACAGGATATCTGTTGCAATTTCTGTGCGGATTGTAACAAAACTCCTCAACCTCAGGACATAAAAGATAGGGAAAGACGTTGTAGCGTCATTAGTAAAAGGGTAGAAAAGATGATGGTTCAACAGGAATCAACTGTTCATTTTCGCGTCCACCAAACGCGTGAGCTTTCGCGTGAGCTCTCCCGAACGCAACATGCTGCCTTCATGCTCAGCTCCCTACTCCTTGCCTTTGTCGTTTGTTGGACGCCATTCGCTGTGAGTCGTGTCTATGGTGCATTTTGTGGAGGGAACTGTCTGAATGCTCTGACTAAAGATTCGACTGAGATTCTAGTTTGGTTGAATTCGACCATAAATCCAATTATTTATGCGTTCACGAATCCAAGGTTTCGGAAAAACTTCATTCGTTTGCTGAGTGTAAAAAGATGTTGCCGAGGTTCCCAAAATGACGCGACTGGCTCCAGACGAGCCAATGTTTCAACAAATAGAAGTTAACACAAAGTTCGACACAAAGTTCATCTAGTTAATGGGTGGACAAAGTAAAAGGGCCAGTTCGTGGGAAGCATTGTTGTGCATCGGTGAAGGCTCCTATACGCTTATACGAGAGGTCCCAAGTTCGACCCTAGCTCGATGCTTACATCCTTGGACAAGGTGTTTTGCCCATTTGTGTCCCTCTCGACACAGAGGTAATAATAATCGCAGAGCCTGCATGAAGTGCAACAACTTTAATTACCTTACCAGACTCAGCAGTCAGTGCAACATTAGTGTAAGCCAGCTCAAATCCATCCTCGTGGAAATATTGGTACAGCCACCCCCTTCAGTACAGTCGATACCAGAGAGATATCATTACCTGGAGGGGCAAATTAGGATATCTTTATGCCTCAACATCGAATTAAACATCGAAGTAAAAATAGCAATGTAATGTGCGACAGTCCTCCGCTTGGCTACCGAGCAAGAATATAAAAATAGAAGAATAACATACTTGATTTTTTGGTTAAAGCAAAATGTGTGACCTATATTGTTCTCTCCCACCTTACTCGCTGTGGAATTAATCAGGTTTAGAGGGAAGAATCGCTATCACATCAGATACGCCCTGCATTTCTTCCTGAATAAATTTGGAAACTGATTCAGTAGCTACTTTCTTGCAAGCTGAAGACATCACATCTGCCCATCAGTGTAATGTAGTTGGCGGGATCGATGGGGCGGAAGAAAGAAAGGAAATGAACTATAGTCAAACCTGTGTATAGCGACCGCCCAAAGGAAGCACAAAAAGTGGTCTTTGTAGACAGGTGGTCTTTGTAGACAGGTTCCTTAAGTACATGTTTCAATGAGAAACCATTTTCAAGGGAAACAAAAAATGTGGTCCTTGTAGACAGGTGGTCACTAAAGTAGGTCTGACTGTTTATATAAATATATACACAAAATACCGTGTATACGAGAATGTATTTGTTTAGAAATTGTCCAAAAAAAGTGGATGCAATATGCTTAAAGAAGAAACGGAGGAACCTTAATACGAAGATGAGATGGTGTAAAATGGTACATGAAACGACGGAGGGATATAGTCATTAACCTCCTGATGGGCATCGTTTTCTTAGAGGTAGGGGCATTTCTCACGTGGATTGAACATTTTGTTCATTGTAGGAGGGTTTTTTTCTGAAGGAACATGTGCCCCTTTTACGCTCCTCGTTCTCTTGCATTTGTAACGGAAGATCTCGTTGTTATGTATTACTTGGGACAGAATAAAAGAAGATCTTTAATTTGGGTGAAAATAAGCATTTATTTCCATTGAGCGATTGAACAAAAGACTGTTCCACTGAAATAAGGTAATATATTGTTATACAAATAATTTACTCTTTACATATTGCAATTGCATGGATAAAAATCACTATGAGGGCAGTTATAATTATGCGCCATCAAAGTCGCTTTGAATAAGATCCTGTCAAATCACTGTCATATACAAATTGAGCACAATTCATTCGAGGTAATTATTATCATCATTATTGTTTTACATAGAACGTGTTAGTCAGATCTCATTAAACCTGACATAATATAGATTTTGTATTCCCATGGCCTCAAGTTGTTGAAGGTTGCAGCAAAATTGCATTTCCAAGCTTATAAGTCGTTTCTAATTCTGTCTCTTTATCTTTCCCTCTCCGTCTCTCATCTTCCCCCTCTCTCTCTCTCTCTACCTCTGTATTTATTTCTCATTTTCCTCTAGCTCTCATCTGGAGATGACTGTTTATGCCAAGTTCTGATGTGCGTGGATATGCGTTCCTGTCTCTATTTATGTGTTTACTGCCAAACGCTAGCAAAATTCATCCTAGTTGGGCATGTATAATTATTTGCCAAAAGTGGACGAACATAATAATTATCCTATACTGTTGGGCACTTTGTCACAGATTTCTCTTTTTGGTTGTGTGAACATGTCAATCAAACTTAATCATAATTTTGATGTTGATACATGCAGTTGACCCAATGTGAATTGTATGTTCTAATGTCGAACTGGATCGACCAAATCAATTGATTAATAATATATATATATATATATATATATATATATATATATATATATATATATGATATTTTTTCCCCTTAACATGAGAGTAATTATAATCGTTTCATTATTTTGATTAAATATAATGTTTATTGTTATTGTATAATATGTTAAGTGGGGGCACGCTATACAAGAGTCCTATCTCACACCCCGGGGCAACGTGTGTGACACGTCCGGTTGTAGCAACTACTCCGAAGATTAAGATGCATTAATCTTGATCTAAGGAGACACGAACGAACGAATATTACAAGTCTTATGATTTTTCAGGTTCCAACAAAATGAAGTTTTAAAGCTTCTTGGTCGTTTCTAAAAATGGAGCAGAAAAGTAGAAGATTTGAAAGCAGAAGAATAAGCACTATCGTTGTGTCCATGTCACTCCCCCCATGCCCTCTCTCTCTCTCTCTCTCTCTTTCTCTCTCTATGTCTCTCTCTTTCCCAAATCCCTGTCCATGTCTCTCCCCTGCCCCTCTCTCTCCTCACTTAAGATATTTTGTGTCATACTCTTGGCTCATTTATGAGGTTTATGTTACCATGGCTACGTACATTGAAATATGGATGGTGGCATCCGAAAGCGGATGTTCATTACGATGAATGATGAAAACAACTATTGGAGAAGCAAGGCTGGAGTAGCAAATTTCTTTAATATTTCAAAGACATATTTTGTACACATATTGTTACTGTTGTTCGTAAATAGATCAATCAAACAATCACTCAATCAAAATATATTGATCGTGGCGAAAATCATCCAACGACGATGAAAAACGCTATTAATTTCAACAACAACAACGGCCAATAAAATGATGACAACTTAGTCCATCGAAAATATTCCATTGATCCAATAAATCTGGTTCTTTGAACGCTGTCTCTAGAAAATATGGAAAGCGAATATTGCCTTTGTCATGACAGGTTTAAAGAAATAGAATAAGAGAATGGCAAATAATCGAAAGTTTATTTGTAGATCAGTTGAAGAACTCATCATGATATCTACAGAATATGATTTCAACTCAAACACAATTATTATATACAAGAAGTGTGCGTCATTCTCGATGAAGTATTTCACGTTTGTACAAGGATGAAGCAAAAGAGAGAGAGAGAGAAAGAGAGAGAGAGAAGAGAGAGAGAGAGAGAGGAGAAAGATGTATTACAGTTTCATCTTAATAAAGATCCTGGAAATTAAGGCCTTGTTACTATGGTAATTACCAAATATCATATTTGCGGAAGATTCCTCCCGATAACGATCAAATAACACTGATAATTAAGGCCAATAATAAACAGTTCTAGCAGAGCTAATACGGCTCTTTAATTGCAAAAGTTAATGAAGGGCGTCAATCTTGATATACAAGGGGACTGGGGAGGTTACCCCCCCCCCCCCTTGCACGGAAGGCACGTGAACCCAATAGAATTGGGGGGGGGGGGGAGAAGAAAGAGACGCAATCACATTGTAACCGAACTATAGCTGAAACATTACTGGGATAAATTGTCGGTATCTTGCCCAGACCGGTGAATTACAAACTAGGTGTAGAAGCTAATGTGATTCAAGTGTTCTTAGAAATGTTCTTTTTTTCAAACTGTAAAGTTCGCCTAGAGCAGCAAATAGTTAGATTTACGAAAACAATAACTGGTCCTGTGTCAGGCATTAACATTTATTAATTTATTTATTTCATTTCACTGACATCAAACAAAATTACAGGAAGTTTTAAAATAGCAAAATACAAAACATCAAAATTTAGTCAAATATTATCAACAGATAATATACATGTTTGCTGAAGTATAGACAGCAGCAAAACAAAAGAATAAAAGGCCCTAATTTGAGGCTGGCCCGAATTTACGTGTCTTGATTAGTATGATAGCACCATATAATTATTTGTAGTATAGTTTACACAACGTCTTTATTCTGTAATCTAATTTGAATTTGACTGGCATGGGTCATTCAGTGTTTTGTGGCAAGCATGCATTTGGTAAAAATTGGTTTCATTTCAGGTCCCTTTTGACCATGGGCCAAGTGCATCAGAGGGGCCCAGCAGACATTCACATTTGGATAAACACATTGTACTAGGTTCTTCCCCGAATGTTTCAATACTCAGATATTGGTATCTAACGAACCTCGTTCGTTTGATCAAAGTGCTGACGGCTGCCGGGCTATATCTTTAAATACATATTCATATTATCTGTTTTATACTGTGCTCCTGTATTCGAACATTGATCTTTGACTTCAAACTTCTTTCTCTCTACTATTTTCAGTTGGTCATAGGTCTCTCTCTCTCTCTCTCTCTCTCCGTTTTATTTTACCTTTCATCATGCTCTAGCAAAGCCGTGACCTTTTTCTTGTTTTGTATCATGTGTAATCTTTGTTTTATTTATATTGATATACTATTTATCTTGTTATAAAAAAGCATGTATCGTCTGTACCATGTGTACCTTTATCTCTATTAAAATAGATGTTGAGTGAACTTCAAACTTCAAGTGCGTAAATCACATCGTCAGAACAGTAATAAAATATAAGTTCTGTTTGAGAGAGGGGCGACGCAAGAAATAAAAACTGTGGGGTGCTGGTTAGCGAGGTTTGCTTTGTTGTCGGTGAGTCTGTTGACAGGTTTGGTTCCACACCTGATTCAAAATGCTTCAAAAACGCCCTTGAGTTCATGACATTTTTGGCCCGCAATGGTGATCCGAATAATGAAGAATGGTCCGTCATACCTTGGTAACAGTTACTCCCGGCTTTGATATTCGTCAAAGCTATTTAGTTATGATTAGGGTTAAGGGTCATCCGAGTAGATCGACAGCCCACGAGACTGACAAAAAACAAAAATATTAAAGAAAACCCAACCTGAGGAAAGATAGAAACATGTAGGTGCTCGATCTCGTGGGCTGTGGACATTTGGGCTTTATGTTATGCTTATATTAACGGTTATGGAGTTCGGTGAATTCGAATCAAGAATTGAAGATAGCAATTCGGTTATTCGACGGAGCATGTGTCTTTTAACCACCCAACATGATAATCAGTTTGCTTGTTTGTCTGCTAGCTTCGTCCTGAACGACTTGAGTTCAGCGACCTGGTAGTCGATGTGCGAATCGCCTGTCACATCCTTGAAGAATCGCTCTGCGTAAGCTCGACATGCCTGATATCGGAGAGAAGGGGGAGTAAGAGCGTGATATAACTTTGTGGTACATGGGCGATTCTACGGAAAATGTTTACTAGCCAAAAATCATAAAATTGCAAATAAGTCCGGAAATCAATTGACCCCCCCCCCCCCCCCATTTTTTTTTTTTTTTTTTTTAATAAAAAAAAAATCACAGATTTTCAAACTGTTAGCAGCAAACAAAACAAGTCCATGTTCACTATGACTTGTGTCATGTCCGTTACTCTTACAAAGAGTCCATTTTCTCTTAAACTAATCAGTAATGTAGTGTGAGAAATTTGCTATGTTTGTGATGTCCCTGATGTGGCAACGACATTCGTCAACAAGGTGAAGAATTATAACAAATAACACTGATACTGATCATTGTGGTGGTGGTGATGATAATGATGATGATGATGATGATGATGATGATGATGATGATAGGCTTAATGATGATGAAAGTATTAACAATCAGGCCCATATTCATGATAATATCGGTGAACTCTTATAAACATAGATAATTAGGAACAATGGAGACAATATTACTAAGAGGACATTGTCTTGGAAAGTAAGAGTTTGGGAAAACTCGGTCACAGAACTCTAATCCTAGTGAAATATCATATGGTTCGCGCTCTGCCTCTGAATGGAGCCCCACTTTAATAATCTGTAAAACTTAGAAACTAAAAGGGCAGAGGATAAAATCATACCCCGCCCACATAATAGCTAATCACAAGCAAGCAATGTGCTACGAACGTTTACCTCCGAAGTCTGGTAACGGAAATGTGGTTTGTCGGTCGTCGCCACTTTGAGGATGACTTCGGCAATGTCTGACGGGTTTTGAAGATCAGATGTCGCGAGAAGTTCGGGATGGTAGATGTCCGGGTTGTCGAAGCACTTAGACAGCGTGCCATCGATGTCGGTCGTACTAGTGTTTCTTTCAATCTCAGCATGTCCTCCTAGTCGCTGGGCAATCATGTTTTCCATGATGGCCGTGCTGACCCCTGCAGGTTCAATAACACTAACCCTATAATTAAAAAAAAGAACACGACATTATATATATATATATATATATATATATATATATATATATATATACATTGCTTTACTACTATAAGCTTATGCTAATTTGGATCTTTTGACAATAAAGATTAAGAAAAAATTGACTACAGAAAGCGGCCTGGTCCCAAGAATTGTATTGGGCACCTTCCCATCTTCTATACTTCCCGTAAGTTTACTCTAATATACTCGTGATGACAAAGGTTTTCCGCCCGAATCTCTCGTGACCTTATATCCCACAAGGCCACAATGAATACAATTTTGGTTTGCGCGTGGTGCTAAAAACATATTTGCGTGCACGATCCACGAAATTATTATGACGAATTAATTAGCAATAGTCTATCATTTACTAGTATATTATCATGATTATACACTCTTATTTCCACGGAGTCAAATTTCACTCTAATTGGCGTCAGCTGGGAGTCAACTCTATTCCTAGTTAAAGTGACACGGATTCCGAATCAATTTGACTCGGATTGTGTGGCATCAGCTGAGAATTGACTAATTCAGAGTCAAGATGACTCCTTTTCCGTGTCACTTTAACTAAGAATAGAGTTGACTCCCAGCTGACGCCATTCAGAGTGAAATTTGACTCCGTGGAAATAAGAGTGTAGCGTATATGAAATTTGCTCTGTATTACTGTAAGAATTGTTGTCATATTACAGGGGCAGCCGCAGTTTTTCCCAGACAAACATGACAACAGATTATATACAGGCGGCGCTCCAGGTGGGGGGCAAGAGGCACAGGGTACAGTGCCCCCATTTTTTCAGGTGCCTCCAACGTACTTTTAAAAAAAGAAAAATGCCCCCTCTAACAAAAGAAGCGTGGCCGCTTTTATTTTAGACAAATGCCCATTTTTGTTTTCCTATAGGTGCCCGTTCCTCATTTTTATATATAAGGACCCCTTACCACATTTTTCCTTTTGTTCGGTATGGCGTCGGTCCTGTTAGTGTTACTGAGGCGTAAATCAAAATAAGATGTAATTTAATGCATGCAGAATGAACACCGTTATATACACATGAAACTATGAGGATATTTTGCATGGGAATCTTGTCTCGAACTACACGAGCTAAACGGGCTGCGGTTGGCAGCATGCAGATCTGATATTTTGATGAAAATAATATAAGCAGTTTAAGTTTTACCATATATTGAAGAACCTGCCAATCATAGCTATCTCCTGACTGAAACCCACAATGGCCTGTTTAGTTGCACCGTATATACCCATGTAAGGAAAGGCTGAAAGGGAAGAAAAACGTACAGGAGCAAAGGTGTTAAAGAAATCAAGTGTTCAAACATTACAATAATTATCAAAATCTGAACATGATTTATGTAGGTGATACGTCATTAGAAATAGAATGGTCATTAAGTTGATTCCTTGAAAGTCTTTGCGACCGTGTTTAAATAAACAAGACGAGTTTTTTTTTCTCTGAAGGTTCATAAATCCGAAGGTTTGTTCCCCCCCCCCCGAAAGGCCGTTATTCCGAAATTTCAAAATTACAAAATCAAAATTGGGTTCGTAAATAAAATTAGATTCTATATTCCGAAGATTCGTCATTCCGACAACGATGCAATGTTCAATTTCACTTTAGGAATTACGAACATTCAGAATTATGAACCCCTTGGTATGGGAAATTTGTCTTTCGGAATTATGAACCTTCGGAGAAACGAGTAATCCCCAAGCGGGTAACATGTCGATTTGTTAACAGTAGAACACGAAAGATAATCTGCTCTCCCTTCTTAACAGTGATTGCAATAAAGGGCAGACTTAATTAATTGGTAACTAATGTATAATTATCTTCATAATTAAGTAATAGCCTAAAATCTTTGATGCTATCTAAACACAGATTTTGCGTTTGAAAAAATATGTTATGACTAATGTAGGCATATTTCTTTTCATGTTTGCTTCATTGTAGTGCTTACCTCCCAACCCATGGATGCTGCCCATGTTGATTATTCGACCTGACCTTTGCTTCTTCATCCCAGGAATCACTTCCTGTGCGATCCGTACCATGCCGAAGAAGTTGATATCGAATACCCTCTTCATGACGTCAAGACTAATTGCCTCGGTGACGTTGAGAATATTGACCCCTGCAATGCTAACTGAGAACGATAAATCAATAATGAAGTAAATATATAAGATAAAAATCAGGTCTAGCTGGCACATCTGTTCCATTTTTTGTTTGTTTTTTGCTCCAACAAAAAAAAGCACTTTCTGGAGAAAAAAAGGGGAAAACTACAGAGGGAAATCTGAAAGCGAAAAAATACAATTTTAGATATTATACCCCTACATTGTGATTAATACATCAGCAGGGATGATTTGATAATTTTTTTTTCTCTCTACATGGTCTAAGATAGTATTTAAACACCACACTATGCAATTCGGTGTGATGATCTGAATATTCGTTCTTTTGCGAGCGAGCGGGTAAAATGTAAGAATTGTGTGATCGCATTCAGTTGCAACTATTTAGATCTTATAAAGAGGAATAAAACAATCCTGATCGGATGTTTAAGCACGATCTCATCATGATAGACTGAAAAGTAACTTGATTACATCAACTGTAAATTAAAACAAGCGTAGCGAGCGAGCTTTGGGGGATATTGGTGAAAAAGTTGCCTTTAGTTGTTATGGAGCAATGAAAAGAGGGGCATATATCGGGTTGAAATGGACACTTATTAGAGAAGAAAAGCATGTGTCAAAGTAAAAAGGGCACTTATAAGAATGGAAAAGGGGCCCTTATTACAAAGGAAAAGGGGCACTTGGCAGAGGTGTTAAGGGATACATATAAAAAATGTGGAACAGGCACCTATTAGAAATAAAAAGGGCACTTATCTGAAGTAACAGGGAGCACTTTACCTCTGTGAGAAAGGGGCACTTGTGGGATACTTGAATAAAAAGAATGTCCCCCGTCCCCAGAAGCGCCGCCTCTGTGTAAAACACCCCATTTAGTTGATATTGAAGACTGTCCTCGTGACGTTGCCCGGCCTCCCACTCAGTGTTGTTTAGGGTACGTGTATGATTGTCCCTCCTTTTGAACGCACCCCCTATCTAAGAACTGGCAACATTTCTGACCCCCCCCCCTTTTCGCGGGCTTTTCGCGGCCTTTTCCAGCCTTGGAGACACCCCCCCCCCCTAAATCCGGAACACTGCTCAATGTGCCCCGTTGTATGATATTCAAGATATTTTATAACCCCCTTTTCAAACTTCTCAGGAGTCCAAAGAGAGAGAGAGAGAGGGAGAAAGAAAAACAAAAAACTTTTTCATATCATATAACCAGGCGCGTACGCAGGATTTTTTTTCGAAGGGGGGGGGGGGGAGGGTTAAAATGTTAAAATCGCGCCGAAAATTTCGCAACGACTCAGCTGATTAAGCGGGGGGGGGGGGGGTAAGAGGACATATGTTTTTTTGTTTTTTTTTGTCCTAACAATTTCGCCACGACTCAGCCAACCGCAACAAAAAAAAATGATGGGGGGGAGGGGGGTTCCTCCAAAACACATACACACACACACACACAATTTGAGGGGGGTTCGACCCCCCCCCCCCCCTGCGTACGCGCCTGCATATAACCCCCTTTAATAAATTTCACAGGAATCCAAACAGAGAGAGATTTGTCGTGTTGTTCAATGGTTTTTCCATTGTCGTTGGATGATTTTCGCCAAAATGTCTACTCTCGCCCGATGAGGGACTTGAACCCGCGACCCTCTGATTAAAAGTCAGATGCTCTACCGACTGAGCTAACCGGGCTTCGGTTAAGAAAAGAAGAAACACACCCATTTTTTAAAACAATTTTCGGGTCGGACTTTGTCGCGCAAAAAGTACCCCTTTATCGGAAATTGGGAACACGAATGCGGTCTCTCCGTTCCCGGAGTGAGGGGGAGGGGGGGGGGGGGGCAAAGACTAATGCAATTGCTGACGTATTCTATATTTTAAAAAAACGGACATCAAGGATGTCGTCTTCCCCTCCGATAATGATTTCAGAATAAAAAAGCATAACCAAATAATTATGTTTACACACCGGGACAAGTTTAATGGTGCAATAAAACTTTAGGCCGGGAAGAAAGTGATGTCCGGCATTTTATGCTTGTAAAAATAATGAAAGCTTTATAAAAACAGAAATCTTACAAGGCATGAATGTTATTTTTAAAAAATTCCTCAACAGCTCTGTAATAGAAGGTCTTGGGCTAGAGTACAATGGGCTTATATATATATATATATATATATAACTTTTTTTTTATTGTTTGGCTCCAACCTCTATCTTGGAATAAAAATGCAATAAAATGTTAAGGAATATTCAATACAGGTCTTTTGTGTTTATTAAGAAATCATGCTTCTATTATTGTTAACAAAAATACCTTCACGTACTTAATACGTCGATTCGTCCATGTTTCTTCATCACCGTGGCAACAGCGTCAACAATCATAGCTTCCTTGGTTACATCTACTTGCAGGGGAAACAGTGTATCGTTGAGGGCGTCCCCTGCCTGCAACCTGAACTGCTCTTCTTGCTCCAACGGTTTGAGGATGGTGGCGTACACCAGGAAACGCTTTTGCGAATCGTGGGCCAGGAGCTGGGCCGTTGCTAGCCCGATACCCGACGAACAACCGCTGATCAAAACAATATCTGGCATCTTTAGACAAACCTAAGGGACTTTCAATAAAAATTGAAATCACACATGAAAATGGAAATTAATCAATGGAGAGCATAATTTATGGAATGCTTAAGAGTGGATTTTGAGTGTATGTGACATTTAAATTGTCCTACACCAAGGAAAAATCTTTCCTTACTTCCACATGCCCATCTATTTGTCTACAATACTCGTAGGCCTATCATGAAGAGATCTTGAATAAAAGGACGCGTTATTTCGTTAAGACATCCCCAAAATATAAAAAACAAATGCAAATAACAGTCGTTTAGCCATTCCCTTCTTCGGCTAAAGAAAACGAAGAAACAAACCATAGTCAAAGTTTATTCATTTGGGGAAAGGTCACTTCGGAAGATATATAAGATGCTTACAGAATCTACACCTATGAATGACTAAAAATAAAATACATGTCCACCAGATCATCGGATTTGTATCGTTAGGCCTAAATATTATGATCAAGGTATTGCGAAAACGTCATGTCCTGCCCCTCCCCCTTCCCTGGGCGCCCCATTCTACCTCCGCTACCCCTTCGGATGAACTTCCATTAGAATAAAAGGACACAAACATGAACGACAGACGGTTCGCAGAGCCATTTTGATATTATAGGATGAGAGGCTGGGCATGCAAACAAACATAATTTCTAGTGTACCGCATGATAGAACATTGTCTACTAAAATAGTGGGAGCTACAGCTCCAACCCCCCCCCCCCCCCCGCTGCCCCCTCTAGTTCAGCGGTCCCCACCCCAAAAATGTGAGCTGTATCACTTTGTTTCACAATTACAGTGGCGGATCAATGCTTCTTTCTGACCAGTGGGGAGGGGGGGTGGGGTGGGAGTATCCAGGTACTTTTCATCTCAGTGGCAAGCAACGCCACTTAATTATTCATTTCCCTCTTGCAACAATACATTTAATTGGTCAATGATATAAGGAGAAAGAGGCCAAGGCCTAAAAAAGCGAGCTTGTATTGGGAATTAATACCAGGAACAAATAAACATAGATTATCGTACGTTGACCTATGAACGTTTAATTTGTTTAACTTCGATTCAAAGTCCAGCTTTTATATATAAAATGTGAACTTATTACGACTGCAACATACACAAACAATATTGTCTGTATTACAAGCCTCATACTACTGTATATCTTAACGTTCTCACATGACCCCCTTCAAAAGGAAATTGTTACTATCCATCCAAGTCAAAAAGTATAAACGTGTACGTGTATGAAATATGATTAGTGCATCCGAGTATATTATGCTACACCGATTTAAATGGGAGTTCTTACAATATTTGGTTTTCAAGAGATACCACCGTTCATAATCGGGGAGCTATTGCATTAGTGAGTTGAGTAGGTCTCATTTAATAACAACTTTAATAATCAAACATTCTATCAGGTCTAAATTGTAGAGGTCCTTTGGCAAGACATTGATCTACATTTGCCACACTCCACCCAGGTGAAGTAAATGGGTACATGGTAGGAATTTATTCCTTGAAACGCAGCGCGCGTAACAGCTGCACTGCTAAAGCCAGGGTAATTATGCTGCATTATTGTAGAGCGCTACTTCTGCTTAGCAAGTGTTAGGCGCTATATAAGCAAGGATAGTTATTATTATTAAATTCTACTCACCTCACTTTTTGCTAAGAATATATCAAGATTGTTGCAAGAGGCACTCTTCGTATAACTATTATAAAGTCACAGCATCAAACTTAGTCGTCAGTCTCAATACCATTAGGGACTTTTAGATTCGCAAGAAGACAATGGGGACTGCCTTGAATGGACGTCACACGTATCAGTCCACGCAAAATAATCTAAAAGTCCCTATTGTGACACTCAGAGCCGCAATCAGTCTCTATATACCATTGTCGCCCAACAATGTACACATAATTAACCTCGCTCTACGAACATCCAGGGGCGAGGTCCTTTTGACCCCCACCCTGCTCCACACAATGTTGGCGGGATTAAATGCAACTGATCTCCCCTTCTTTTCTCCCTTTTATTTTCCTCTTCCTCTTTTTTGTTCCCTTTTAGCTCTCCTCTTTTCCTTTTCATTCCTTCTCTCTCTTTTTTTTTAGCGGGAACGGGGGGGGGGGGGGGGGCAAGGGCCTTTTGCCCCCTTCCCCCCCCCCCCGATCCACAACTTGTTGGCGGGAAAATTGCAACTCAGTGACTGATATCCCCCTTCTTTTCTTTTCTTCTTCCTCTTTTTTCCTTCCCTTTATCTCCTCTTTTCCTTTTTTCTTTCCCTTTCCTTCCTTCTCTTTTATTTTTTGATTGGGGGGGGGGGGGGTGGGGAGGCAACAGCCTGGGAGACAAGTCCTCCCCCCCCCCCGATCTCCTTCTTCCCTCTTTTCTTTTCTTCTTCCTCTTTTTTTTTTCCTTTCTCTCCTCTTTCCCTTTCCCTTCTTTTCCTTCTCTCTCGCTCCTTTTTTTTATTGGCGGGGGGGGGGGGGGGCAAGGCCCGCTCGGCCCCCTGGATCTGCGTCTGACCCCCCCCCCCTTGTTTAAAATTTCTACTGCTCTTTAGACATTTGTAGACCGTATAATTAGCCAGTTCGCAATGGGAAGATAAAGGTCATAAATGCTGGATTCATGTTTATGAAAGTTATGTAATTATTATTCATTATGCACCGACATGTCGGTACAATCCAAGATACACAGACGCAAGGGGCAAACCAAAGGTATCATAATAATGAAACGCATATAGGAACTTTCCAGTAGTTTTCGCTATACAAGTATAATTTTATTATTTCAACATTATATACCTCCATCACGTTGACAGTGATTATTCTAAAATGCACAAAGTGGGACTGCTCCATGTTTAAAAGACTTGTGGACATTTGGGGGTCATTTTTGCATTTTTTTGCATTGAAGTGGTCTTTCGGTTTCAGGGAGTGCTACACCGTTTATATCCCCTTCCCCTCTTCGTTATAGGCCTAAAATTAAGTCGGGGCGAATGAGACACGGATCATCCTTTTACATAAAGGGACTGGGTAACTTTGTCTCAGATTCTGAAACTAAATCCTGGATTTAGCTCATGCTGCAATGATAGTTATAAACCTTTTGGTTAGTCAGGAACCCCATAACTATCTTGATAATCAGACAGGCGATCGGCTTGTAAAAGTCATGGGTGCAATTATCATTGCAGCATGAGCTAAATCCAGGATTTTGTTTCAGAATCTGAAATAAAGTTACCGGATCCCTTTAAACAATTTTTTCTAAGGCATGCAAACAAATAAGGATAAATTATTCTTGATTTGTAGTGGAATCGTCTGATTAAAAGCCGATCGCCTGTCTAATTATCAAGATATTTATGATTGGAAATCGAAATAAAATTTTGCGTTTGCCTGACGATTTTCATAACACTACAGTCTAATGGGGAAGTATGGTAAAACCGGTCACTCAAAGATGTTTACTTTTTTAAAGGTACTATGTCCCTTTTGCAGCCAACCTCAAATGCTGTAGAACTTTGCAGGAATTATGAATATGTCATGTATGTCCTATCTGTGAAATTTAAACGTTTGCAGTGTCCTCATATTCAAATTATGCAAGGAAACGCGTTTACTTGCTAGACTTCACTGTCAGACACTATTGAGTGACTGACTGGCTTTTTTTCTTCTTTGGTAATAACATACATGAAAAGAATTGTAAAGGGTACATGAGCATTTGTCTACATCAATAACCCACTTCTTGTGATGGCCAAGATTAAACTGATTGAATCTTTGGGCAGCATAAAACGTATTACCATTCGGTGCAATTGTCTGAAAATCAAGACTATTACTTTTGGGCTCTATAGCCCTAAAGTCGATTTGACAACTAATAGTCATTATTTTCCCACTTGAAGACATTTTCAAGCCCCACCTTTTTTAGGGAAGTTCTAAATTAGTATTATCTTTCAAATGCAATTGAAATTTAAGGTTTTCATTTTTTTGGCCTGCAAATGGGACATAGTACCTTTAAGGGCTTCAATATAAAACACCATATATCAAAGACACTGATAACACGTAGGGCCATGCATCTAAGATTTAATATTGCTAAAAGATGCCTTTAAAAAAAATAACTTCTCCTCCTAATATCATTAATTTCTCTAGTTTTTTTTTAAATTGATATTTCTTGTTATGGAATATAACTTAATGATAAGAGCCGACAACATCTAGACGAAGTAGGGGCTAATTTACACAAGAGCTAGAGCGGGATGGACATGTGCTCATTTGGAAGCTGCACATTTGTTTTTGGTCGCAGTCATGATAGGGGCACTTTTCTCTTTTTTTTTGGGGGGGGGGGGGGTAGCCGGGCGCCCAATTTGCCTCAGTCTCAGGCCCACCACTCATCCGTCTTCCGCGTCACTCACCATGCCTGCACTCTGCATCCAGGATTTCTTAGGGGGGGGGGGGGGGGGAATTTGTAATCAATTTGAAATTTAGTGTGCTGAAATTTGAAAAATCGTGCGGCCAATATTTCGCTCAATGGAGAGGGGGGGGGGGGGGGGTAGTGAGCACTAATTTTTTTTTTTTGCTCCCGAAAATTTGATAAATCGCACCCCACCCCCCCCCCCCCCATGAGCACCCGGGGGGGGGGGGCATCTAAAAAAAAGGTAAAATTAACGTGTTTTTAAACATATTTTCACAGGGGGGAGGCGGCCCCCCCCCCCCCCCCCCCCCCCGCCGGATCCGCCACTGGTTTCATCAAAGAGATTGCACTGCGCCTGTGTACTGTGCGTTCTTGCGTAACTTGTGTTTATAATTATGCTAATACATAGGGCTACATGTAAAGTACGTGTTGTTTAACGAGCTTGAAATGGATCATCTTTATCCCTTGAAATTAGGGTCTGCTGTTGTTCTCAACACCAAACCATCCATAGATTTAGAGTGCGAGAGAAGTAAGTAATATTTTCCTTAAGTGCCATTGTTCTATTGATCAGAAGTAACCGGGAATTTAGGGTTGGATTATCATATCTGCGAGAAAATACAGACCAAAATAGAAATGTTCTAACACCAGATTCAACGTGTGGGCGCATGTTTAAAAAAATAGAACAATAAACGATGGGTTAATCATTGCACGTGCAATTTGCAAGTAAAAGATTTCAAATTTGTAATTGTTAAGCTCTTTAATGTTCTATTACCTAGTTTCATGATGTGAGTTGTATACATATATGTGATACACTCATACACTATATTATTTCTGTGTGATTTCATTTTAATTTTGATGAGTAAAGTCTGGTTTTCAGCCGGACAGTCACGTCATCTGTGCATGCAGTGACTGTAACTTTTGTAAGGCAAATTTTCATGAAATTTTCAGTAACAAACTCAGGATTTTGAAGAAGTTTACACTTTACACACCAAATTTCATAAATATTGAAGACATTTGTTGGAAAATATTATAGACCCTCTAAAAGACAATCCATGATGGTTAGTGTTACATTACTGAGCTGTGTAGCAAGTGTCATACAACCTGATTCAAAAGTATTTGTCTGTTGTGATTTGTTCAATTCAACTTCAGGAGATGTTGAATTCAGGTGGAAAATAGAAATGTGCATAACTATAAACACAGGATTTAATGAAATTGAAGACTTTGAAAACAAAGTGATTCCATATATGGATTGACTATGTTGACTTTCATAATCATTTTCTGTTATTTATTTTAGTACCTGAACTTCCCTACAAGCCTTGCGCTCGGAGTGGACACTGTGCGGTTGCCGATGAACATAATGTATACTTACTGGGAGGTTACAACCCTGATGATGATGTCATCTCAGACTACTTCGGGAGCAACCAGCACGTCCCGTTGTTTGGCGAGGTGAGTGAAAGTGTTAAGAGAGGAATATTAGGGGTTTTTCATCATATACTTTACAAAACATGGCAGCCTTGAACTTGAAGTCTCACTGAGTCCACAGACACTTGTTTCAGGTTGTATGACAAATGTTCAATCATATTGTTTTGTTTAGTAATCCTATATTTCTGATCGATTCAATTCAAATCTTTCAGTGAAGAATCAGTGATACTTTTCAACGTGGAGATACTGAATAGTAGGTGTAAAGATATTTTCATGGTTATACAATGCAATTCTTTCAAAGGAATAAGAGCCCTGGATGACCTCAACTAAGAGCTCTTTGTTCTCAACCTTTCGATCAGTATGTCCTGATTGTCAGCAGGAGAATGACTGAAATAGTTCCCGATAGAGGCTATTTATTGTCTACGAAGGGATCAGCACCCATTGGAAATGTCAGAAAAAATTGTAATCGTGCATGGCAGCATTCACATTTTGGTCTCTGTTTGACACTAAAATTAAAATCTTGAGAAATATATATCAATTACTGCGCCTGGAAGAGAAATTAAAATAAAATATTGTTAGTTTTCCAAACAACCCAAGGTACACATTTTAGTCTTCTATGTGACTGAGAGAATATGAGTCCCAACTTCACATGCCATACATATTAAGCCGAGAAAAATAGGAATTTCAAGCTAGTTGTTCCTAACACCGCATGCAAAATATGGTAGTCTCAGTATACATTCAAGAATGAAAATCTGTGTATGTGATTTCCAGGAAATTCTGAACAATGTAAATGGTCTGGTTGTTGTGTTGTTGTGAAATAGATATGGGTATGAACTATGAAATACTAAACTACTATAAGTTCATTGCTGTGGAACATATTCAGTGCCCAAGCTGACCCAAAACAAAACATCACAAATCAAGGTCTTACATGATATTTACATTGGTGTAAAGCTAATGTACAAATTTGGTAGTAAAACGGAAATAGAGGTGAATTAAACAATGTTAAATATAGTTTCATCTTGGTTGGTCTGTTACCGATTTACCAGTATCTTCATATTTATCACCTAATCTCAAAGAAATGTATATTAAAAGTATCCAAAAACCTTTGTGGCAAAGATAAGGTTAACAAATCAAAATGGAATTATAAAGTAGGTTGTGAAATAATAACGTTTTTTATTCTTTATCCCATTAGGTTTGGAGGTACCACATCCCATCCAACAGGTGGCATTTACTCACAAACGAAGGAGAATCTCACTTCCGGCTTGCCTCCATGTCGGCCATCTTGAAAGGGAAGACGATACTGATCTACGGAGGCACCAGCTATCCCTTTGGTTACCGTAGCACAAACAAGATCAGCTGGCTTGATCTCAGGAGGATAGAATGGCATGTTAAACCAGAGAAGGGAGAGAACAAACCCATCAGAAGTTACGGTCAAGTGAGTTACTAAAACATTGAAAGTTGTACAACATGTTTTTTCTCATACTCGTCACTATAGGTATTTGTATTTGTTCCGTAAATGTACTGGCCGTATCATAAGAATTTTTAAGGGGTATTATACAATTCCAAATGCAGTCAAGATGATTAAGAACACCTGAATTTGCTCAAAATTTACTTTTGTCAAATCTTTTAATCAGTGAATTTCATAAAGTACAGTACTTCCCTTTACACGTTTTCTTCTTCAAAAGATGAGCGGACCACACTTTCTTAATAATGAAAAGTAGAACTCTGTTCCTGTATAGTTATTTCCATATATATAGTGCAATGCCTCTTTGTGCTTCAAAACTACTTTTGTAATCATTAACTTTTTGTATGACACTTATGATGACACATGCCTCATGGCCTTAAAGAGATGGTTTATTGATTTCAAACTTGACTGAATTTGGTATCATTGCAATCAAAAAATTACACTGAGTAAAATCATTACATTTGTGTAACTTGTACAGTCGAGCGAAATTTATAAAAGTTGATTGAACTTGACGAAAAATCAACCCACCCAACGCCCCGAAAACATCGTAAGTCAGCTGATTTTTTAAGTGACGTCACAATATGAACAGCGGGCCGCTCAGCTGAAATGATTGACGACGGTGCGACGACGTTGATGTAGCGTTCAAGTTTCCCGTAGCTAGTAGCTGTGCGTGCGTACTCTGTGCATGTACTATGTGTGCAATACACTGACCTCTATGCATGCATCACATCTAGCGCAGCTTGCTAGCCAGCCTAGCCCATGGCCCCGTGCTCGAGCTAGCCGTGAATCGCGAACCGGACTGATCTGTTTCTCTCGGTTTATCAGGTCCTATACGACTTAATTTATCAAAAATGTCTGGACAATCCTATTGACAATTTGTCGCCTATTTTACTCCAAAAGAGTCTTTAGGTCAGCATGCAAAATGTCGTTTGCCTTCCAAGATCAGACACATACACGCTGATCGAAGTGCCCTCAGAATATGTGATTATTTTTCTGATTTTTATGCTCAAATTTGACGGGGAAAAATATAAAATATACAAACATTTGTAGAAAGTATCATTTATTCAGTGTATCTCATTCAAAATGCCAAAAATAGAGGAAATATCACCCCTGGCGGTAAATATACAAACAATGTTAACCCATATCTGAAAATTGCAATGGGTATCCAACATTGTCCCGAATGTGTGATATGGTTGTTCATATTGTGACGTCATCGTTTCGCATGTAAAATAACGCCGTCAATTCACTTAGTGAGTGGGTTCAGGAAAAGGTAACAAAATTGCATTTAATTTATTCCTCACAACAGTGAGGGCTTCAAAAGTACTTTGCTCATTTTGTTAATGTTCTCAGCAATCTGTTGAGGTGTAATTTGCCCATTTTCTACATTTCAATGAACCATCTCTTTAACCCTAATAAGGCCCGGGGGGGGGGGGGGGGGGGGCATTATGGCCCCCCCCCCCTCCACGATTTTTCTGATTGTTCGGGAACGCATAGGGATGGCGCCCCGCCGCTCGCTCACTTTTTTCTTTCAAGTCTTGGACACCCAGATACAAGGTCACGTGACCTTTTGTCTTTTAATACATGTCAGCCCCAAAATGGCTCATTTTTGTGATTTGTGTACAAAACATATGGAAATGTCATTTTTCCTAAAAATAGATCAAACATTGGTTATTGGGTCTTATTTAAAGTTTAGGTGGTTGTTTTGGGAGTGGAAATAGTTGAATTGTAGTAAGAAATGAAAAAAAAACAAAAAACAATAAAATACATAAGTTAAAAAAAACAATGAAATACGTGAGAAATTATCAAAACAAGAGATAACATAAGGAATAAGCTGGCTCTTCCAAATTTTTATGTCGTATTATTATTGGTCTAATGAATATATGTGGTGAAAAAGAATGCTTAAATATGAATAGTATATGATTTATGGGTAAAAATGTGATTATATGACCTTATTTGCATAAATTACCATAAATATGCAAATGAGTGGATTTTTCAAAAAATTAAAAATTATCATATTATTCTATACACTTCACCTGACATGCGTGCAAATTTTAGCGGAGATCAATTCCATGCTCTGCTGTTCAGGCGTGAGGTCTGCTATGAACACTCTTATTTTTTCAAAGAGATCTTAAGGGGGGGATGCCATAATGCCCCCCCCCCCCCCCCCCGGCCGTACTAAGACCTCAAATAGCCTGGCCTTTTTAGGGTTAAAGGCATCGTTAAACAATGTTAAATCTAAGATGCACGGCCCTACGTGTTATCAGTGTCTGTGATATGGTATAATATTGAAGCCCTAAAAAAAATTGTGCTTCAAAAAATAAAAAATCTTTGAGTGACCAGTTTTACCATACCGGTACTCATTTTCCCCAATAGACTGTAGTGTTATAAAAACCGTTAAGAAAACGAAAAATAAAATTTCGATTTTCAATCATAAATACCTTGATAATCAGACAGGCGATCGGCTTGTATAAGTCAGGGGAAGTAAACATCTGAGGCAATGTTACCGAGTCACTTTAAGAATCCAGAGTAATCATTGTCAGCTATCCCCTGGGTCCCTAGGAAAAAAATTCAGGTCATCTTTTTTGTGGACGAATCTTTGCGGTTTGACTTCTGAAGCTAAGTAGACAGGAACAAAGGGATCTTATCAGTTGTCTGTGCTTATTTTTCAGGCAATAGCAGTCATCAATCAATACCTCTACGTCTATGGTGGGACGACGGGGTGGGTGTACTGTTCAGATGTTCACAGATGCCACGTACAGACCGGAGTCTGGGAGAGGGTGTTCAGCTTAGAGGAGCATGCCACAGCCATGGTGAAGTCGGGCAAACCACGGAATGAAGCCATCCCTGATCCACGTTACAGACATGAGATGCTGAGTGATGATAGAAGGTTGTATGTCATTGGAGGAGGCACTTCTGATTCTGCCTTTGCACTGGCCAAGGTGAGCTTTTTAACCGGTAGGGTGGTATTCTCGAAAGCGGACTAACTTTAGTCCACGGTTTAATCCGCTGACTAACTATGGAATGCCAAATGTCCATATGAATATTTTTTTGAATAATTTAATCTGTCACTGAATTAAAATAAAATATAATAACATAATTAATAAAGAACAATATAACTATGATATAATTATGATATCATGGTAATTTAGAGACATATCAAATTATTCAAAAATATATTCATATGGACACTTGGCATTCCATACTTAGTTGGTGGATTAAACCATGGACTTAAGTTAGTCTGCTTTTGAGAATACCAGCCGTAGGGTTTAATCTCATGGAGGTAGATAACATTGATGACATACAACTTGGGGAACTCCATGATACTGACAAAAAGGTCTTTGATGAACGAAAGTTATATCCGGACCCCATGGAAGAACAGGCGTATTTTGTTAATACACCTGAAATGGGCTATCTGCCGTTTATCTCATTTATGTATGTATTTGTATGTTGTGATGATTTTATACGGAAATAAAAACAAACAAACAAACAAACCTCAGACACACCACTAAACCTACTCTAGCCCAACTCCAAAGTGACAGATTCTTGGTCTTTTGGAGAAATTGGATTTTCTGTTTAGTCTGCATGTAGGTCTGGTGTCATTCTTTTGGGTGTGAATGAGATATTAATCACTGATGATGTTGTTGCATCCAAACAGTCAGTCCTCAAGCCCGAAAAAACACGTCTAGTTTATCCCAGTCCCCACGAGCGTGACCCCGATTTGACCTCAGAAGTCGCAAATGAAGACTAGTTTTGAAATGCTCGTAGCTCCGTTATAAAATGAGATTTTCAAATGATTGTTTTTGTTTTGAAGAGTTAAAAGTTAAAATCACGGAAATATCATCTTTATTTTTTCAAAAAAGAGGGAAAAAATTATGAAATCAGTAGTTAGAACGATGACTTTTTTTTGGAAATTTGAAGTTTTGATTTCCGTCTTAAATTCCACAATTTTTTCCGAAGGCCCCAAAAGTAGCTAAAAATTATGAAAGGAAATTTATTAAGCTTTAAAAATATGGTAAAATAGTAACTTGAGGACTTTTAGATGGGTCAGCAGCCAGCTAAATACATACCGATGTCGATTAATTTTTGGAGTGGAAGTCGCTCGCATCGTTCGTAAGCTCGGACCCTCTGTCCGTACAAAATGGCGACATTTTACATTTTGCAATCTTCGTATTTGCCCACAAAACGTCCTCTTATCCTTACAATTAAGGTAGATTCCCCTTAAATTAGTATGGATACGATCACTTCTTAATACTCTTTAATTATATTTACACACGTGCGATAATAAGTCGTCATTCCTTGTTCCTAAGTATACATCGGTCCCATGTGTCCAGTTTCGTGTATGTATTACCTCTGCCCATTGTTCGACGTCAACCTACACGTCGCTCATATTTGTCTCGCACTCTAGCTCTCTTCCCTCTCTTTCCCTTTGAAAAAAAACCCTATCTCTCCCTTATATATATATATATATATATATATCTTTCCCTTTTTATCTCCCACTCTCTCAAGGCCGTACGCAGCATAGGGACAGGGGGCAGCTAGTTGCCCCAAGAAATTTTCAAACCCTTTTTTTTTCATTAAAAAATTCAAAAAATCAGTTCCTCCCAGAAATGTTCGAACCCTTTTCTTTTTTCTTCAAAAATTTAAAAATCGTTCAATTTCAATTATAAAAATGCATTTTTGTCCCCCTTCCCCCAGGAATTGGCGCATGCATGAATTACCCCCCCCCCCCCCCCTCCCAGGAAAATTCATGCGTGCGGCCTTGCTCTCTCTCTCTCTACTTCTCTCCGTCTGTCTGGCTTTCTTTCTTAAAAACTGTCTCACTCTCTCAATCTCTCTCTACCGACTTCACTCTCTTTCAATCTCTCACTATATGGCTCTCTTTAAAAAAAAAAAACTTGTCTCTCTATCTCTCTTTCTAAATTTCTCCTTTCCTCCAAATTACTTGCTTTGAATTTTCTCCTTCAATCAGATGCATGAATGTTCATAAACTTAAATTAGCTCATACCTACGTACATCTCATATTTCCATCTTTCCACACTTTCAGAAACTGATACTACAGCAAAACAACAAAGATAACAACTAAAGTTTGTTTTTGAATATATATACATTTACATCCATGTATATTTATTACCCGGTAAGTATACCAAGTTACATGGCAAGGTCAATAAAAACAATTTCATAGTAGAAGTTGCTGTGTAGAATACTAAAACATAACAATTGTATGCAAGTATTTTTAAGTTCCACGTACACCTAAAATTGCGTAATGGTACCGTATAGTACATGAGATATACAAACTTTTTTCTCAAGCCTTCTTCTGCATAGCTTGAGAAAAAATATTAACATGTATATTGGTTAAAGAATAAAGAAGCAGATGAGGGTAGAAGTAGTTGGAGAAGCAGATGAGGGTAGAAGCAGTTGAAGAAGCAGATGAGGTAGAAACAGTTGAAGAAGCAGATGCAGTAGTATCAGTTGTTGAAGAAGCAGATGAGGTAGAATTAGAAACAGTTGAAGAAGAAGCAGACGGCAGAGAAGCAGGAGCAGTTGAAAGAGGCATATTTATCTTCTTCTGTTTTTTGAGCCCCGGTGTCCACATCTTAAGTTCCAAAGGAACATACTTGCTAGCACAAGTTGGACGTAGCACATGTATACATTTAATTATTGTAGCGTTGATATTCTCTGAAAATATCTTCTTTGCGAAGAAATTGAGATGTGGTCCATCAACGCAAAAACAGGTAACTGTATGTACAATAGCTTAAAGGCATCGTTTAAGAATGTTAAATCGGAGATGCATGGCCGTACGCGTTATCAGTGTCTGTGATATGGTGTAATATTGAAGCGCAATTTTAAGGGCATATCTCAGACACTGATAACACGTAGGGCCATGCATCTTAGATTTAACATTGTTAGACGATGCCTTGAAGATTATAGAAAACACTGGCTTCGTACAAAAGCTTACAATCCCAGCAAGGTAAAATACTTCTCCCTAACTGTAAAGTATAAATCTATGTAGGCACTGCTATCTCAATCCTAGACGCTTGTAGAAAAATTGCTGGCTCCAACGTGGATAAACACAGTTTTAATATCTTCAGTAGTTACAACTATTCCATCTGATATGATCTCAAGGACTGAATGCATGTTACAGCCAGGCAGGAACAAACAAAAACTTCACTCTGCAGTTCCAAATTGTCCTGAAGGCCACAAAGAATTGATTCCTCTTACACATGCACTTTCCAAAAAAGTGAAGATGGGTCTTGGGGAAACCTGTAATGTCATGATACAAAATAGAAAGAAAATTAGAAAAATGTAAAAATAAAATCTAGCTACATTTTTAAAGATTTTCCATGGTTGAGTAAATACAAGTTTTATCAGTACCCTAGAAGTAGAACAATGCAGGTTAGGGCAAGTGTGGTACATGTTGCTTTGTACATCTCCATTACCATAATAATAATTAACGAAATTGGTTGTACTTGTACAAGTTCTAGGAGTTCACGCCAGAGAGACAAGATCCTTTTTATAAAAAAAAATACAATTGCAACTTGCAAGGTAGTGTAGATTTAGGGGACAAATTTATAGCCCTAGTCAAAGGAAAAAATATTCCGACCAAATTCTGTATTCAGAAAATGGAATGAATGAAAATTGAAATTGATATATCAATTGGTTCCATGTCAGGTCACCCAATGTCAACCCGCCCCCTTACAAAATCGCCCTCAATTGGTCATGTCGCCCCCGATTTTTTTTTGGCGATTTTGAGATTCTTGGTCAGCTCGCCCCAACTGTTTTGGTCATTTCGCCCCCTAATTTTTTGTTTCAGTTTGATGTCTTTTACAAGTTCAAAGTCACCCTAACCTTACCCTAACTCTAACCCTAACCCTAACCCTAGGACACCTGGTCCCACGTTACCCTAGGACACCGGGCCCAGCGTTAACCTATAGGACATCGGACCCCGTGTTACCCATGGACACCGGGTCCCAATGACAATGACAATTTATTCTCATGTCACTCACATTGGAGTATTGGAGAAGTTTACAATCAGTTTGAATTTGTCAATTTAACACTGTAAAATATACAATACAAATCGCATTGGGCGCAGTGCTGCGCTAGTGTACTGACTTTGTACGTAGGGGGCGACTGTGTATAGGAGGCGACTGTGTAAAGGAGGCGACCGGCTTGGGGGTGACCTGACCAGACACTCAAATTAGGTAATACTATTATTAGGTGGAGTTGGGCTCCTTCACGTTTCATTACGTGAAATTGTGCTCAAATGCGTGTGACATTGTTTTTGTGAATGTCCGGTGCAGCGCACAAGCCACAACCTGGCCCTGCCCTGGCTCTGTCCTACAAATACAATAGTAATACAATTAAAAAGGTACAAAGTACTAATGTAGACCCAAATCTAACTCAAGAGTCAAGACCAAGTCGTAGACAAAGTCACTAAAAATTCATCCCAAGATCTAACCTAGCGCTAGACCTCTAGCATACATGTAAACTTATCAATAAATAATATTAATTCTCTTCCTTCCTTGCATTAATTTAATCCTAATCTTAGTCTAGACCTAGATCTATTTAAAAAATAAAAATAACTTTGAAAAAAAATACTGGCAAGCAGAATGCAGCAGTAGTCTAGCAAGGCTAAATTTCAACATCTGTGGTTATATTCATTACCAGGGCTAAACGAAATACCTACAAGTCCTTCTTACTATCCCTAACAGTCATCGATTTGCAGTATTTAATTTAATTACAACCAAATAGTATCATATCTTTTTACTCAAAACACAGAACGTGAGATCAAGAGGCACTAACACAGATTTGCACAGGTGGGACTGGCTTTTTACCTCCGCACCGATTGCAAACATCAGTGCATTTACGGCCCAAAATAACTCCTTATCCCCTAATCTCGATCACGTGACCGCTCTAGCACCCAAGAAAAACATATTCGCCCTCAAAATATGTGATTTTCAAGCCTAATTTTCAACAAGTTATAGTTCGAAGGCACCGTAAAATCTGGTATCTTTGGTTAGGCCGAAGTCTGGAGAATACGAAGGAAAAACAATCTAATAATTTGCGTTTTTAAAAGGGTCAGCAGCCACTTACAAACTCAGGTATGCTCAAACGAGAAAAATATACTCATGCCACTTCAAGAGACATTTTCAGTGGTACAAAATACTCATTTTAAACGGGGAAAAATACATTATCAATCACGAGAAATCGGATTCACTACTTACCCTGACATCTCCGTTGGAAAGTGAATGTAAACGGCAGCAATCAAGTCATGACTTCAGCGGTGTATTATCTCGCTAATGGCGAGACCCGAACAAAGTCCGAAAAACGTACGAGACGACTGGGATAAATCTTGCGCATTTGCTCATTAGCATACGGACTTGCCGACTGACTGCAAACTTGCAGTAATCCAGCTATCTGACCTACATTTTTACTATCATTTAAAGTGTTCCAATCACCAAAATATATATATTTTGTATAATGGATCTATCAACATATTATGTTGATAGATCCATCGCATAATGCTACTATATGTCCATAAGTATGCCATGTAACAACTTTTTAAAGTCAATATATAATGTGGCCTCAGTAAAGTATAAAATCACTTTAAACTCCTGAATATGTTGGTTCATTTAAATTTGGTTTCATTGAACTCTGAAGTGTTAAATGTTTATAGAATATAAGTAGGGGATTAGTTAGAAAGCTTCCTTTGGGCTTAGAAGCTATCACAAGACACTTAACATTTTGTTAATTGCACACAAACATTTTTGTAGTTTTCAATTTTTAATGTGGCCTCAGTGAATTATAACATTAACTCTAAAAATTCCGGATTTGTCTGTTCATGTATTTTGTTTTATCGAACTCTGGAGCTTTCATGAGACAGATTGTTTTGTTATCTTCATCTCTATAGGTAAATGCATTTGACACAGAATCCAGACAATGGGAACTACTAGATACAAGGCCCGATGAGAGGCATGGTTTCCCAGGACCTAGGCGCTGTCATGGATGTGCACAACTAGGGACAGGTGAGCCCAAGACCCCTTTGGTTACTGCAAGCTACATCTTTTATGACTGTAGGAGCTGGGGGGTGGGGGGTGTTTCATAAAGCTGTGTGTAAAGTTACGAATGACTTTACAAATTATTTGAATATGAAGAGTCAAATGGGATTCCCAAAGTTTTTCCTAACATTTTAACAAAGTGTGACTGTATTTCGCATAATCTTAATTAAATTGCAGCCAAAAATACACTTTACATTAAAATGTTTTGTTAATAATGATAAGGTTAATCTATATCTGCATATTTCAACTTTAGCTTATGCAATTAAAAGGATTTGAGAGTCCCATTTAGCTCTTCATATTCAAGTCATTCGTAAAGTCATGCGTAACTTTAAGCACAACTTTATGAAACACCCCCAGGAGAATTTGTAGTTAGTGTTTTACTTTTATGAATTCTTAAATGTGTCCAAACACGATACATTTTGTTCCATGTTAATAAGCCTTTGTGTCGATGATAGCAGCCTGTAAAATTTAATGTTTGCGAAATGGTCAACTTGGTCCCAATTTGCTGAAATGTATTTATGTGAAAATCCCCACATATTTGTTAACTCTTTGATATTGTGCCTCAAAGTTTATAGATATGTCACAGAAATTAGATATCTGTAGAGCAATTTTCAATCGAATTGCCATTGTTCTTAACTTAATACAAGTATTGCATGATAATTAGGTTCGCGATTCATGAACCCATTTTTGAATTTTCAAGTTGAACAGCAAACGTTTTTGTTTACAAAGGTAATGGCCATGTTAAGTTGCTTGTCTATACACACTGTCAAAATAGCAGTCTAAAGTCTCATTCACACGTGTTAAACCATTTAAGAAAACCTACCAAGGTATCCAGTTCAGTTTAGTTCATTTACTTAACACATTCATAAACAGCCTGAACTTCAAAACAAACAAAATAATATCCAATTACAATGGTAAATAAACATTAACAACAAAAACTTTGTAAGAAGTGTTGGGGGATTAGCTAGAAGACAGAAGTCCTATTGAAAGTTAATCCCCCTAAAATGTAAAAGACATATAAAACATATAAAAACAGGGAAAGTGAGTATGCTTTAGGGCCTTCACTGTGTGCAGTTGATGTTTTGCTGTAGCAGTATTTTTAGTTGGTTTACCACCTCACATGTGAACGAAGCTTCGATGTGTTTAAAATCCACATAAATTTTCAATACAGTGAAACCTGTATATAAAGACCGCTCAAGGGAAACAAGAAAAGTGGTCTTTATAGGCAGGTGGTCTTTCTTTACAGGTTCCTTTAGTACAGGTTTCTACGAGAAATGATCAACAAAGAAAACAAAAAACATATTTTTTATAGACAGGTGGTCTTTATATACACATTCAGAGATGCCAACCAGTATGATTATATCGTATTTAGTACGATAATAAGAGTGAAATACGATCTTAAAGTCTTAAAATACGATTTTTCATCTTTTTTTCAACAAAAAAACAAAAAACAAAAACAAAAAAAATCTTTTTTTTTAAATAATTTTTGTTAACCCATAAAAAAAAGCAGAATCGCATAGAAACATGAACAAGTAAACCCCAGCAACGGTGAGCAACCCCAACAAAACCTTTGCTTTACAATTTTCTCATTAAATTTTAACGAAAGAGCTAACATTTTTCTGAAATTTTACTGGCCCAAGACCGACGAGCCAGTGGTAGTATCGAATTTTCGTGAAAATCTGATTTTTTTGGATACTCGGTCTGTTTTTGTGTGTCAAGAGGTTGCCATCTCTGCACATTACATTAGTACAGGTTTCTATGAGAAAGGACTGTCAAAGGAAACCAAATGTGTAGTCTTTACAGACAAGTGGTCTTCATAATACAGGTGGTAGCTAAAGCAGGTTACACTGTTTATCAGTCTTAAGAGCTTCCCATTACTTTCCTTCACTCACAGTGGGATATGTCAGTGGTGGGTTCGATGGACGGAAGATCTACGATGATGTCTGGATGCTAGACTTGACAACGCTTCAGTGGACTAAGCTAGACACCAAGCTTCCTAGACCAGTGTACTTCCATTCATCAGCTATTACACCGGTATGTCACACTCCTTCAATCTAGCCCATAAATACTCTTTGCAAGTAATCTGATCTATAAGTCCTGTTTCTGCAAAAGTGTGCTCTGTGGAGGCATGGTCAATTTTCTGCACTAACTAGATTCCAACCTTTAACACTGTACCAAACATGATGCCTAACTCTAAATGCATCTTACACCAAATCAAAGCCTTGAAGAAAATTTGAGTTGTGATATAAGTTTGTTCTTTTGCTATTTGTTAAGTGCATAGAGATGGCAACACATTATGCACTATATAAGCCTGACATTAAAATTATTAGTTATAACAATTTATTCCCTTTGTCATTCTTTAAATTGCCATGTTGAAGGCCACACGAAAAGGATTGCCCTTGAAATACTCTCATACTGCAAATATGACCAGTTCAATAGTTAAAAGCTTTGGACCAAATTTTGATGCCACAAGTGTGTGTACCGGTAGTCCAATATACTTTGCAGCTTCTTGAGAATATTCAGATAATCAGTATTTTCTTGCAAGCACCTGGAAAGAGAGGTGGTCTTTTTGTTGTTCTTTATACCTTATCCAAATATTTAATGTCATCAACATCAACCCTCTGGCAAGATTATTCCTGTAGACCTATGCCTTCTATCACTCTCTCTCTATGACCATCTTTCACCATTTGTTTCCCACATCCAGAATGGCTGCATGTTCATATACGGAGGGGTCCTGGATCCACAAGGCACCGAACGGAGCGATACCTTGGTCAGAGTATGGGTGCGGATACCGTCCCTCCTCCTCATGGCATGGAACAGGGTCCTCTCTCTCCTTAGGAACCCCACCGGTATAGAGAAACACACCCTCCAAGCCATGGGCGTGCCCCCTTCCTTACTACCAGACATTGGATGATGATGGTGGTGGGGGTGATGATGATGATGATGATTATCTTATATCTACTGGGCCGCGTATTATAAAGAGTTATGATTGATCTTAAGTTTGATCAATACACGATGAGCTATAGACTTACGCTCAATATTAACCTTACGATTAATAAAAAGGCTTTATAATACATGGCCCTGTTCATGTACATGTTGGGGATAGCTAAAGTGGTTTCCCTGGTATGTAGATATCTAATACTGAATATACAGTAGAAATATAGGAATATACTACCCCTCAAATCTGACTTCACATAATATATGCTAGTAACTACTAGAAATGATAAATTCCTGATATAGAAGCTGTAGGCCCTGGAATTAACTTTGTAAGCCATGTCATTTTCGTCTCACTTGCAAAGCCGAGCAAGACATAGATGTCACTATTTCCAGCTGCGTTGTTGTCGTCTTCATCAACAATCATGCTGTAGTCGCAATATTCTATAGCTTAGAGGAAAGATTACCAGTGGTGTATCTCTGTAGGTGCAGGTCAAGCTCAAAAATAGGTACACGCAATAACATTCTATAGCTTGGGTAAGTATCTCAAAGATGATCCACTACAGTTTCAATCATACCTCATAAGTACCTTATGAGGAATCACCAATCTCATGAGGATTTGGGGTCATCAGGTCAACAGTCATGTCAGATGAAAGCCATTGCACTTGACGGATATTGCATCAGAGGCAGAGGCATAACCCTTAACACACAGGCGAGACAGTGCTTGAAATATACCTTGTTATCCATTAAGTGTTACTTAATGCATCAAACAGCCATACAAGTATCGTATAGCTATACGATAACTCCCTACCTTTTGTTTAGTCTGAACGTCGTATAGAGAAACGTCTTATAGCGAATTGCAAAAGTATCATTCCAAACAAAAACAAAGTTTAATAAGAATCAGGGCCCCGCTCTAAGTCTCAATGTCATATAGTGCGAAAACGATATTAATCGATGGAGCTTATTGTTAGCATGCACTGATGATTGGCTAGCTGTCGTGTCAATTGACCTTTTCAAAATTTGAATGTACTTTATTCAAACATTGTTGTTATTTAGTCTGTATGCTTCTGTTGCTGTACGATTATTCTTTATAAAACGTTTCTTTATACAACTTTCATATAAATTTCCTCCATTCTCAAGAGGCTATGAAATTAATCTATTGTGAGATTTTTACATCGCCCGCCACCCACCCAACAGACCAGGACAGGGTTTTAAATGGTCAGTGGTTGAAAGAGTCAGAGGTATATATTTTTGTGCATTTAAGAATTTCTATAAGTGGGCTTTCCATTTAATGGCATATGTAATTATTTCCATCATCAATGTTCAGATTGTATAACATGTCTGTTTCTTGACTTTGTAATTCAAGTGCCGGACACAATATATTGTCTTAGAGACAAATAATGTAAATGATGCGTGAAGAATTAACGCATCATATTTTCAGAGCTAGAATGGCATTACTTCTTGTCATTTTACAGAATTAATGGCCTTCTGGCTCTCAGCTGACAATATTACAAACCTTTGACTGCTTAAGATTTTCTTAAATATACTAATGCAATCAAGTAGTCATTCTATTACCTCAGGTAAAAGATGTTCCTCAAACTGAATTTCTCAGTCCCATGGATCAGTAGACTTGCATATCTTTGGAGAACTAGGTTGTAGCCATTGCATAAATAAGTTCATTATGCAATCTATCTGCACACATTAGGTGCATAAAAAGCCTCAACAAGAACAGGTAGATCCTGTAATGAATGAATGAAATCATGCATCACTTTTTTAATACAATAAAACTCCTAGATCCTTGTTATTTAATGAAAAAAAAGGAATTGATTTTAAGATTGTTTCAAGTCATTATCAACAAATAAACCCAAGTTAATTAGGCTTACCGTAGCGCATACACAGAGACAGCGAACCCAATACCTCAACAAAAGTGCATTAACCTCTTGCTGCACATCACGCAATTAAAAAAAATCATTGGATAGAACTGGAAACTATTACGTTTACACTAGTACATAAGATTACTATAGTGTGATAGTCTCAGTAAATACATCACATGTGATCGCGGAGAGTTGAATAAACACCATATAATTGTACCTTGTCTCTGGGAAGTCAAGACAATCAGTCATATCCTATTTTGGGAACATGTAATCACAAGAAGGGAAATGTACTCGTTCTTCTGATGGAAGTAAAAATGAATTTTATTTTGATGAATGAACATGCTGTGTAATCATAATTGATAAGGCTGCATGGCATTTTATGTTTTGTTTGTACATAATAAAGATTCTTCACATGTTAAAGTTATTTACTAATTTCATTTTCTTTTGTCATTAAGCATCTCTGAATTGATATTTAGTATTTTCTTTCCTGTACATGTATCTGAATATCTAAATGTCATGCAAGGTTCTTACACAATGTAACAAGACTTTGTTTTTTCAAGTACTTTAAATTTTCTTTTTGTAATCTACACTTTCCACAGATTAGTTGTTGCTACTTTAAAACCAATCTCCGACAAGCCCATGGGGCTAGCAAGGGGCAGATTGTGTCTGCAAAGCAGGCATCACATTTAGATAAACAAATTAGATGAATTGCCTTTTTTTTCTTGCCATTTTGCATGATTTTAAAAAAAAGAAGACAAAAAGAGGAGAATTAAGAAGGAAGGACAATAAGATGAAGAGAAAAGAGAATAATAGAAAGACAAGCAGAAAAAATGATAGATGTAAATGAAAAGATAAGGAAAAAGTAGAAAAAGAAGTACATTTAAAAGAAATAAAACATTTGATAAATGAGAAGACAATATGAAGCAAAGTGAAAGTGAAAAAAGAAGGGAATAAAGAGAACAAGAAGAAGAATTATATTGAGAAAAAAAAAGAAAATGAGGAGCATAATGAGAAAAATCGAAAAGGAAATGTTCAAGTGAAATCGGAGAAGGAAAGAAGAGAATATTGAAAAAAATGAGTAGTCAAAAGGAAGAGAAGAAATGAAGTGAAGAGACAAAGGAACATGAAAAGTGAAGAGGATGATAAGTGAAAATGAACTTGGGAAGAATAAAAAGAGAAGAGAAAATTAGAATAGAGCATACAGAGGAGAATGCGAAGAAGAGACTGGGATTTAACGGGGTAATGAAGAGGAAGATAAGAATATGGAAAGGAAAAAAAAGAAGAAGAGAATGTGCAGAATACAAAGAGCAACATGAAGATAATTGACAGAAGAAGAGAAGAAGGAGAATAACTTGGGGATATCATGATGTGCTTCTTTCCCTGTAGGATATTACCGATGGATTTTTAAGTGTGTGCTGTTTTTTTTTATGTACATGTAGTAAATAAATGGATAATATTAAGATTTTTTACTCAATGTACATTCATTTTGCTGTTTTTAAGTACAATTGGAAAATAGTTATACAAGAACTGAATTGAGCTATGTTAAAATCATCTTAAATGTATACACAAGCGAGAATACGCAATGCTCTTAAATATAGGGTCGATATTCTTATCACTTACTAGTAATCGACTTTTCATGAGAGGTTAAATATTTAAGAAATCCTGATTTGATTTTTAATTTTTACCGGTGCCCAATCACCGGTACATGTAAAAGACAGACTCGCGTAATATACTTTCTGAATGGTGATAAATGTAATCAAAATGAAATTGTGAGAAACAATTGACTTGGGTATGTGTCGGAAAAATACCGGCTTGAATCGCTTGCCACGTTTGTGCCTAAGTTCATCAGTGGGGGATCTAGGGGGCGGGTCCCCTTCCCTGGCCCCCCAAAACAGGTACATTTAACCTTTTTTGAATAAAAAGAAGACGGGCTCCCTCCCCCTGACGCAAGGGGTGCATGCTAATTCGGCGCTAAATATTTTCCCTCGAATTTGGGAAAAATAATTAGTGCTCCTTGAACTTGACTTGGTCTTAATTTATTCAACTGTATCATTAAAGTGTCTGAGAATAAACAAAAACATTGTATTATTTATATTTCCTTGCTTTTTAGACAACCTAATTCTTTTAACCAGACTAATGATAATATAACTTTTGTTATTACGGTATCCAATAATCGATCTTGCGCCACATGTAAAATGCAGACTCGTATAACAAGACATCTTTCTTTCTAAAGGCTATTGTAATTAATTGATTAATTAATCCATAATGTTAGCTTTCTTGGGTTATCCTGCCCCCCCCCCCCCGTACATGTCTCCGACATAAATAAGCATAGTAACAAGAGATCATCACGTGAACTAATGATTGTTTCGTCATAGATTCGAGCTCATGCGCAATGTGAAAAATAAGCGCATTAAAGCGCGTACGGTGAATATCCTTGGCAATTTTTGTTTACATTCCTCACAATATCTATATTGTTCTCGTAGTGTTTATTCACTATACTTTTCTCTGCCTTTTCAGCCAATTTTGCCTAATTTTGGTCGATTGTGGGTCTCATTTCTCGTTATTGTCAACATCTAAGCAATTTTAAGCTCTAGATCCGTTGCCAGATTGAGAATTTGAGAATTACCAGCGTTATGAGTCCTCGAACTACGGTATGAGTATGACCAGTAACATTATGACCGTAGACACAAAGTTAACGTGTATCAAGCGATACATGTCGGGCAATGCCGTTATTTATCCGACAAACCCCGAGTCATTTGTTTCTCAAAATGTTATTTTTGTTACTACATTTACTAGACTTCAGAAAGGAAATTCTTTATGCGAGTCTGACTTTTAGACGTAGCCCACGATAGATTATTGGGTATCGGCAGATAACCGAATTTAACCCATTTTCCACTTTACTTCTGTTCCTCCTATTTTAGATTTGTTCTTCTTATATTCTCTTATTTGTTTCTTGATTTTCATTTTGTATCTTCTTAGTAGGTCTACAGTCTTTTCTTTCTTCGATTTCTTCTTCCTTTTCTCATCCTATTCACTCTTTCCATGGGCTCTACGTTTTGTTTGTTTTTCACTTTTATTTTTTCCCTCCCTTTCCACTTTTAATGTTTAGAATTGCATTGCATAATCACAAATGAATGAATAACTTCGGATGTTGACGCATGAAGCATTCTAACTTGATAAATAATTTGTTTGAGCATAATTACAGTTGAAGAGAGGGGTGCTAATGAGTGAGATAAGAATATTTAGAGAGGATGGACTCATGAGAAATGAAGAGAAAAAGATTAAGGCGTTAATTTTATCTGTTCACCCTCTTTTTGTCTTGTTTCTTTTTAACGTCTCTTCCTTTTCTGTTCTCATTCTCCTTATTGTCTCATTTCCTTTTGTATTTTACGTTTACTTCTCAAGTTTCTCTAACTTTCACTTTTCTCTCTTTCTCTCTCTCTTTTCATATTTTGCTTCATTTCGTTCACTCTTATCCCTTTTTCAGTCTTTATCTCATATAATTCTCCTTCTTTTATTTCTTCTTATTTTCCTTCTTTCCCTCTCTTTTACTAATGTTTCCTTCTTTTGAAATTTCATTTCATTTCATTCTTTTATTTTGCATGACGAACGCCTTCGTTTTTCACTTTATCTACTTAGTTGCTTTTATTACTGTTTTTATTATTATTTTAATCAAACTCATGCAGATTTTAATCTATTTCCTTCTTTTCATCTTTCCCTGCATTTTTACGTATTCACCAGGGTCATCTGAGAGCAGACGTCGAGCTTCAGGGTCATCTTCTTCACCTCGCTAAGAGCGTGAAAGACGAGATGTCCTATCTCGAGTTTGTCGAGAAGCGGAGACTTCCAAACCACGAAAAGGTTTACATCTACATCCCTCGTCGCTATCGTCATCGGACGGATAGACACTCTCTTCACTTCTACGGCTACTACGAGTACCATCATGGCAAACGTCAGCTCATCATCCCGTTGTCGAAGCTCCTCAACCAAATCGCGGTTGAAGAGCTTCATCGACTCAAGTCGGAGTCAAAACCGTCGACAACGTCGGCTACTCCATCGGGGTGTCGACGTCGGCTTCCACTCAACGATGTCCTTGGATTGGAAGTGAAACTCAAAGAAGAACCTCTCTTTGAGTTTCCCCAACACAAGGACGTTGTTGAGTGCAGGCCTGCTCCCTCCACCAACGTCCCTCTCGTTCCATCTTCCGCCTCGAGTTCGAGGAAGCGTAAGATGGATGATGAGTTTCGTCAAAATGAGGACGTTGTTGAGAGCAGGCCTGCTCTTTCCATCAATGTCCCTCTCGTTCCATCTTCCACCTCGAACTCGAGGAAGCGTAAGATGGACGATGATTCGTCATCATCTTCCTCTGCGAAGAAGGTTTGTTATAATAACGTAGTTTCAGGTCCACCACGCACTGGGTAGAGGATGTGTTTCCTCATACAGGTTTAGTATTCTCCTTTCAATATTTTTGATAGTCATTTCGAAATATAGGTTCGAAATCGACAACAAAACTTGAAGAAGAAGAAGAAGATGAAGAGGAAGAAGAAGAAGAAGAAGAAGAAGAAGAAGAAGAAGAAGAAGAAGAAGAAGAAGAAGAAGAAGAAGAAGAAGAAGAAGAAGGAGAAGAAGAAGAAGAAGAAGAAGAAGAAGAAGAAGAAGAAGAAGAAGAAGGAAAAAAAAGAAGAAGAAGAAAAAAAAAAGAATGATGAGGCGATTCATTGCCAAGGGATGGGGGTCAGGGCAATATTATCATTGACATCACTATGATGTCAATTAAGAAAAATTAGTTCTTAAAGCCCCTCTAAAGTGTTTGGAGCCCCAAATTCGCCCAAAATGGCAAAATTTCACTTACATTGTATACAAATGTGAAAGAGGATGTCATTAAGACACGCTTCTGCAAAGATTTCCCCCAATAATGAGTTTGAAGACATTATTATTGATAATAGAATACATAATTTGGGTTTGTTGTTGTATGCAGAAAACCTAAATGTTGTATTTTTCATCAACATTCGACTTCAAACACATTGATTTGAAAATCCTTGCAGAAATGAATCTTAACGACATCCTCTTTCGCATTATGATACAATAAATTTAAGAGAAATTTTGCCATCAAATTTTGGGGCTCCCAACACTTTAGAGGGCTTTAAAAGGATTGGGGGGAAACAAGGTAAGAGTGATTTTTTTTTAAACCGCCAATGATAGGGGGCGGTGAAGTATGTATAGAGGGTCAGTTTTACATTTTGCAAGATCGCATATAACAAAACAAAACAAAATCATTGTAAGTGTAAGATTTAGAAAGTTTTCTGTCATGACGTCGGTTCAGATTAACCATAATTTCATTTGGTCGTAAGAGGGCGTTTGTAGTTCGCCAGCCTAAAAGTCACGAAATTTGAAATGTTTTGTGGACAGTGATTCCATCAGTAA